CAATTTGGTTTTTAAAGTAATAATGTGTATTTGACTCGACCTGACACACACACATTTGAAAATCATTTTGGTTTTTAAAGTAATAATGTGTATTTGACTCGACCTGATACACACAGACATAACAGACAAAGATTTACCTTTATATGAAAAACATTCGGATCCACACGACAACCCAACTCCATTGCATTACCAAAAGAGAAAATCGCCTCAGTGACCAAAAATACAACGCGATTTAGAAAATAAAAAAACATTTGTTTCTTTAAAAAGATAGTATCCGCGCGGACGTGTCGAAGACACGTATTACCACGACCACGACCACGACCACGACCACGACCACGACCACGACACGACACGACACGACCCGACCCGAGACGACGGCGGCGGCGGCGCGCGAGAGTCCCCCTTGTTCTCTTTCACTCAACAAGGAAGTGCAAAATACAAGCCTTAAATATAATTCCCAATAGTGTTTCCAATACTATGTGGGATTGAGCATTACCAACACTTGTTCCCAATATCATTATTCTTCGTAAGTTATCATCCATTACAATATGAATTATCGATAATAAATTAATTCATTTTAATAAGTATTTAAAATTATAACTTGATAAATACATGAAATAATTCTATTATTAAATAAAAAATATATTTTTTATATTAAAATTATTGAGATAGATATTTACTATAAAAGTAAAAGATTTTTTTTTCACGTACAACCTCTATGTGAATTAGTTTCACAATAAGGTATCGGTTATGCATTGGATTCTTTCGTATTAGATGGTCTTTAATAAGATCATCATCATCATTCTTTTGTTCAACAATACCATATATTAATGAGGTATATTGGTTCATTAACACGACTAATTCATATTGTAATGGATGATAACTTATGAAGAATAATGATATTTGGAACAAGTGTTGGTAATGCTCAATCCCACATAGTATTGGAAATACTATTGGGAATGGTATTTAAGGCTTGTATTTTGCACTTCCTTGTTGAGTGAAAGAGGACAAGGGGGACTCTCGCGCGTCGCCGCCGCCGCCGTCTCGTCTCGGGTCGTGGTCGTGGTCGTGGTCGTGGTCGTGGTCGTGGTAATACGCGTCTTCGACACGTCCGCGCGGATACTATCTTTTTAGAGAAAATTCTTAAGAAACAAAAATCTTTTAACTATTTTTTTAACTATCACAACGACACTGTAGACTATCGCATTGCGATTCTTGGAAGATCGCGTTGCGATTTTATCTTTTTAGAGAAAAATCTTTTTAACGTTGCGATTTTCTAAATCGCGTTGCGATTCTCTCAATCGCATTGCGATTCTCTCAATCGCATTGCGATTCTATAAATCGCATTGTGATTCTATAAATCGCATTGCGATTCTCTCAGTCGCATTGCGATTCTCTCAGTCGCATTGCGATTTTCTTCTAAATCGCGTTGCGACTCTCTCAATCGCATTGCGATTCTATAAATCGCATTGCGATTCTATCAATCGCATTGCGATTTTCTTCTAAATCGCAACGCGATTTTCTTTTGACCGTTGCGATTTTCTTTTTAACGTTGCGATTTTGATATCGCGTTGCGATTTTATTGGTCATTTTGGCAAATCCAAAAAAAATTGGTTAAAATCGTATATTATAAGGTATTTTTGGTCACTGAGGCGATTTTCTCTTACCAAAATCATGTATATTTGAAAGAGGTCGATCTTCTTGCTACTCCCATGATACAATCATTTTACAGACTTCCACAAAAACAAAATGTAAGACTGGCACTAATAGTTAATCACAAAAATAAGATATATTGAATCGAGATCACAAACTAATACTCAAATTATATTAATAGAACATAAAATACTCATATAATATAAGAACAAAATTGCCCACTTTAGCAGAATTGGTCTAAAGCGGCGATTTTTGTCCTATAGCGGTGTTTAAAAGCACTGCTAAAATGATGCCGGTGCAAAAAAAGTCACAAAAAACTCCGCTAATACAAACGCCGCAATTTTTAGTGGCATTTCTACTAATAAACGTCGCTAAAACTCAGGTTATATAGCAGCGTTTGTGTACTTAAACGCCGCTATATATTTGCTATTTATAGGTTTTCTGTAATAGGTTTTTTATTTAGCGGTGTTTTTCCACAAACGCCGCAATTGGTTGGTCATTTGGCGGCGTTTTTAGGATGCACTCCGTTAGTGGCGTTTTGCCCCTAAAATGCCGCTAATCGAAACTGATTTTCAACATATCTTCTTCCTATTTTTTATTAACCAAATTTTTCATATGTTATTTTCTACTCTTTTGTTACCTAAATTTAACCTGTAGCATTATCCAACAAACTTAAAATCCATAACAATAAACTTGAAATCCATAATAAAAAATCAAAGTTTACATTAACGTAAAATATAATGTAGTTCAACATTGTTAACTAGAATAAACAATAATTTAGTTTACATTACGAAACCTGCCTTTTAAGTCCATCTAAAGTTTCTTCATTCAAATCATTAGTAGCAGTAATGCTAGACTTTCTAAAATCAGGAACCCCAAATTCCTTATCAATTGTATGAAAGATCTTTCGTGCTTCACTTGACAAGTACGCTAGGTCACCAGAGTCCAATCTAATGCCAACAGCTTTGTACCTGCATTTTTGCAGATTCAGCTTATCACTGGAATTAAATATGACTCAACTGCTTACTGGTATGGATGAAATCCACACCAACACAAGTCCTTCAAAAGTTACGTCAACAAAACTATGACCTACAGACTATATCATCCATCATGAATGAAGACGATAAAAGCCTTAATACAAGTATCATGCTACACATAAAATTAAAAACGAAAGCAGTAGAGGCAGTATTTGTTGACACGTGATACATGAAGCCATGCAACTTAGTGCCTTCCTTTATGTGTTTTGGGTTCAATTTAAGGTTAGGCAACATGATGTTAATATATTATCATACATTATTTCATTTTCTCAACCCAACAAGCAAAATGCTAGTATGCTACTAATATAATCAGCTTGATAACTTTCTGAAATTTCTCAGAGTTGAGCTCTCTGTCTCTCTGGGGTGGAAGCATAAAATATTTTGTATCACAGTAATTCACAATACAAAATATTTTATTATTCAAATAAAATTTTACTTTTTTAAAAAATATATATATATCACACTCATCAACGAATAGAGTTGATACCAGGAAACTTCATTAAAAATTCAATTAAAGATTTTATTCGATCTAAAATTTATAAATATAAAAAATAATACACATTAATTATAAGTTTCATTTTAAATTATCACTTTAACAACTAAAATTAGAAAGTTAATCAATAAATTAACCCCTATAGCTCAGTGGTAGAGGGTCAGTCTTGTAAACTGAATTCCGTAGTTCAATCCTGAGTGGGGGCATGCTTTTTCATTAAAAAATTAATTTATAATTGTTAATCTTTTTTTATTATTATTAATCTTCAATTTATTAACAGTTCATCTAAAAATAATCATTTTTAAACTTTTTATTCATCAAATCTATTTATCTTTTTTATTAACCGATCCAATGTCAACCAACTATTAATGTGATGATAAATGGCATAGACATTATATCTTAATTTAAACTTGAACAATTACTCTTAATTTCTTTTAAAAAGGACTTTAGTCTACCAATCAAACCATTTACTTAAATTAAAAATCAATTTGTTTTTTTAATCAATTATTATTTATTATTATGCAATGAAGATATTTGTGTCCTTTAAATTTTTATATAATACAAATATCTTCAAAAATAATTGCACTAAGTATACCAAAAAAAAATAATAATTGCACTAATTTAAAGGAAATAATAACCTAACAGGATGAGGCATAATCTAATAAATCTTGTGAACACACCAACTCACATTGTAAAATATCTTAACTATTTTATTTCCTAATACAAAAATAAATACTATACTTTTTTAAAAAAAAAAAAATCAACAATCTGAATTGATAAGATGAAATCCAATTTCATTCAAAATTCAAAGATTTTATTCTATCCACATTTAAAAAACTAATAAATAAAATAATACACATCAATTATACTTTTCATTTTAAAATATCACCTCAACAAGAAATTAATTAAATGCTACCCCTTGAAAAATGTCGACCTTTATAGCTCAGTGGTAGAGCGTTAGTCTTGTGAGCGGAAGCTCCGTAGTTCAATTCTGCGTGAGGGCACGATCGAATTTTTTACTTCAGAAGAATCACAAGATAAATTTTATGAATTATTTTTAAACTTTGAATATTAAATGAAAAATGTCTACATAAAATCTTATAAAATTATTTTTTAGATTTTATAAAATAACCATACTTAACCTATTATTAATATAACTAATATATTAAACAATATATAAAAATTACACTAGTTAATAACTTAACATCTTATATTTACTCTTTTTTCATGATATATAATATAATTTAAATATTATTTGAATTGTATGAAACTATTTAATTATTTAATAAATTTACACTCAAAATAATTAATTGTACAATTAAAAAATACAATATAAAAACCTCATCATTTCGAAAACAATTTTTAGGACAATTACTTGAGGAATATATAAGAACTATATTCTCAAAATTTTGCTGGAAAAAAGTCACTATTGATAACAAAGCAAACCTAACATGAAAATAAAATTTCGAAAAAGACCATAACTCCTTGCAATAATCTTTTTCAATCGACCCCCCCCCCCAACGTATATCATAAATTTTTTAGGTGCAAAGACTTGTGTCCAAATCTTCAATTACAAATTTAGGTTAGCCGGTAGTAGAGAGTTAAAGTGAACCATTTTAAAACTGCAAGCAAGCAAGCAAGCATTTCAGTCATTAATTACCGCATCATTTAGAAACAGGCAGGAAGACTGGATAGTTTGCTTGCTTTGCAAGTAAAACTAACAGGTTCCCAAATCTTCTACTCCATAACTTTTATTCTGAAACGTCCATTCCTGGTTGGAACAAGAAATATCCCTACTTAGCATTCAATACTGCATATGTTATCACATACTTCTTTTATCTGTGCCAGTTGAGACCAAACCGTCAACGTCATTTTCCCTCTTTTTGTCGAGAGAACAGAGAATTTGTCTATTATTTCTAGTTTAGGCAACTAAAATCTATTTATTTACAATGTTACAGGTTCCTTTTTTTTGTTTCGTTTACCTTCCGCTGCCGCAACATGCCGACAGCTTACTTGCGCTGAGATTTGGTGATGGAGCCTGTGCCTGCATCTCGGCAAGCTCTCTCACACGTAACAAAATTGGTGCTGGAATGGGCATCAAAGGATGCTTCCGTAGATTCGCCTGCATCGCCAAACACAACAGAACCATAAATGTACGGGAATGAATGAGACCACACATGTCAGGTGTTTCAAAAGAAAGTCTCTTCCATAAGGATAAAATGAAACGGGTGTAAGTAATATATATATATATATATATTGAAGTTACAACTTCCCACTTACAATACAGCAGAATCGATCGATAGAAGCACAGAACTGTATAGCTAACTCAAAAACTACTTCAACTCAAAACTAAATCAACTGAATTCGGCATAAAGCAGATGATTCACGTGAAATATTTTGTATGCACAAAACCATCGGTAAGAAAATGATATCTCACCCCTTTGTACATTGGTGTCTGGGCAAAGCTAGCTTTCAACAGATTCCGCCATTTGTCCTGCAAAACAACATTTATTGGAAAAAATTATCCTTCCCAGACTCATACAGATTCCAATGTTCATTCAAACAAAAAGGTTGTATTTTTTAACCAGTTATTTACTGACATAAGTACCCTATGCACACCTTGAGATCAACAGAGGTTCTATACGAATAGGATGCAAAGGCAAGCCTTTTAATCTCTGACCATCGGCCAGCACCATACTTAGAGACACCCTCAACTAGCTTCATAACCTCAGAAAGAGTCCAAGCTCGATGATGTTTCCTTCTAGTTCCACCTTTAGCTGTTGGCACTGTAACAACATTATCATCTGAAGTATCTCCTGATGGATCTACATATTTTAACTCCATATTCTGCCCCAGATCAGTTGATGACTTCTCTTTATTTGATTCAGTTACAAACTGAATGTTTAACAAGCAAATAGAGCTCAGTTTCAATCAGCTATATAAGGTACAAGGTGTAACATGGTTCATGTGGTAGATATCATTTACTCTTTTCACCTGATGAGTAGTTTGCTCGGGAGTAGATTTGGCTTCCAAAACTTTGTTCATACTCTCATTGCCCATCCGAACACCATGTACATCAAGACCCCTCTTTATAAACGTAGCTGTCATACCCATGCCACTCGGATGGAATTTCTGTAGAAGGCAATTCAGGTTGCATCAATATCATAACGTCTATCATCTACAAGACACCAGCATCACATGTGATAGGTTCCCAATAAGTAAGAGTGGACACCCTTTCAGTAAAAGATGTATCAAAGTGAGAAGTAACAACACATTCAACTCTTTAGAAGTTATTGTCATTACCAAGTTGAAAATGATCACATCAGAAATGAGTGTGATGAATAAAATAATAAACAAACCAGAGCTGCAAGACACATGCACACTTTTCCAGAAGCATATGAAAGCTAGCAGGGAACATATGAATGTTCGTTACAAAAGCAAATATCAAATTAAGGGACCTAGATATGTAAAGCCAATATCATATTGCTGAGATAGAAAAACAGCATACCTTTTCACATACCAAAAGTTCCATGACATTCTTCCTTGGTCGGCTTCTTCGAACCCGATAAACACATGGAACCTGAATCCCAAATCCCCCTAGGGAATCCAACCTCGTGATAACAGTTCTCCCTTCCAAGGAAGCATTTCTAGCAAGCCTACCATGAGATTTCGAAGGCATGGATCTAATCCCAATGTTTTTAGTTGAAGCAAGTAACCTGCCACTGTTGCCACTGTCTTTGGACTCTGCTTCAGAAAGTTCTTCAATATACCGCTTTGTTGGCTTCCGGACTCTCTTTGCAGCTCTCTGATCTGCAGCAAGATCTTCATTTGCAAAATTGTTTTCCACAACATCATTTCCTGATCTCACCGCTGAAACAGTTTGATGCTCATCAATTTGACTAAGGCTGTTGAGCACATCCCCATTGTATTCAACAGCAACTGCCGGGAATTCTTTCCCAGTGGCAAGATTCACATAGTTAGCACTATCTTCATTATCCTTTTTCACCAATTTATCGTCTTTAATTACAAAAGTTGTAGTTGAAACATCACAAGAATTAGTCAATCCCATGGCAATCCTTCTTTTAAGCCACAGCTTGTCCTTAACAGTTGTATCTCGCCCAAATGTTGCCTTAAAAACTTCATGAAGTTCTTTAATTGATAAATTTTCCAAGCATGTTTCACCCTTCAACTTGGAAAAATCAGGTTTTGAACTAATACAGCCTGCAGAAGTTGATGATCCACCTTGTATTGACCCATCCGGAGGCTTTAAGCACTCCCCAACACTCCCAGGTTGTGTAGCATGATCATCACTGAAGCTTTGTGCCCCACAAGGAACAGTTTCCTGCAAATAAATAAAGATTAGAGCTTCTCAGGCAATTTATTATGCTGTCCAGACCAGTGTCTGTCTACATGCATATAAGCAGAAGAATGATCAGGAGTCAGACATGATTTTGTGCAACATTTCTTCAATGTATCATACGAGATATTAAGGCCAAGTTCGATCCAAGATAATTAATAGTTCAATTAATGTTAAAACAATTAACTTCAAATCCATCACATGCTTGAACATGTACAAGTAGAGGAAAAACAAAGAAATATCAAAAGCAGTGAGAAAAAGAACCTAAAAACTATTAATATACAGAACACAATGTGAAGAAATAGTAGATACCATCCCTCCCACAAGATATGTTAGAATATGCAGTAGCTTTAACAACTAAACGATTATTACCACATGACATAAGTTCTGCAAATTCCAAGATAAGAAGAATTAAGGCCCTCCTAAAGCATCAAAACCCATGAATAGATTATCAACATAAACTAAAAAATATTAAGCCTAAGCACGGCTTTACATGCAAATATGATAAGCATCCATTAATCCATTTAAAGAAAGTTAAGAAGCAAAGTTCAACAAAAATTAGTTGTACCTCACGATGTGCACTTAATTTTTCAGTATCAGCTTTTGTGTTCTCAGATTGTGACAAACCTGGCAAATATAAATCATTCAGAAAAGTAAAAATCTACAAATATCACAACAAAAAACACACAAATGTTCATCCTATTAAAATAAAGCTGATACAGCAAAACCAGCAATCAATACCTAAAAACATCTTCAAACCCAAAGCTAAAGCTTGAAGTTAATCTTTTCTTATATTGTATTGCTCATATTTAAATTCTAGAGAGACTGTTTTAAAAATCTATTTCATTTGGTACTGGTTTAGCCAATTCCATGGGCTTTGCTCCTTCCAGGAAAATTTTCTTGTACAAGTCTTCATCACTCAGACTGTACCTACCTGACATTTGGCATCATTTAATTTAATTATTTATGTATATAAGGGATGATGTAAGCTGCATACTTAATTCAAACAGAAAAATTTATAAAGCATAACAGAAATACACAAAAAACATGCTAAAAAATCAACCCTGACCATCGGTGCAGATTAAAATACAATTAAAATCATAAGTTCAGTGAATTATGAAATCCAATTCTCCGGTAGTAGTCCCAATCAGCAGAGATAGATGTTCTTATCCGATTTCAAGAGGTTTTAAAATTGTTCATGATTTAGGGCTAAGAAAAGCATACCTTCAGAACTTTCTAACTGAGGCATGCCAGAGGACGACACTTCATTAGAAATACACCCTAAAGCCTGCCCAGTGTCTGCAACAAAATGGGTCTCACGCTTCTCATTTTCCAGCAAGCCTTCAACCTCCATCAGTTCATCATCTGTCGCAGGTACTAATCGCCCGTTCCCATCAACCTATTAAGATAAATATCGATTTCAGATTGCAAATAAGAATAAATCAAACCTGAAGCTACATGTCCACATTTTCAACACATAATTAACTAGGAACTTAAAATTTTCAATCAAATAAAAGTTTGAATATTTCAAAACTTTTGGCGTAACTCAAGAGATCTGTATATGGTTGTTCAGTAAAGCCCACAAGCTGTGCGACATTTTTTAAAAATCACCTGTTCATTTTTTTCCACAGGGAAGAAGATACATCCCCTTTTAATCTTTTATAACAAACCTGCTAACCAAGCACACTTCAAAACGAAGATTCAAGCTAATCGAAGCAGGTCAAGTTACCTGACATTAATTAGTTTTAACTTAGAATATATCAATTCTGAAGCTATTTGTCCACACTTTCAGCACAAAATTAACTATGGACTTATAATTTTCAAATAAATAATAGCTTGAATATTCCAATACTTTTGGTTGAATTACAAAGACCTGTATGTTTGTTGAGTAAAGGCCACTGGCAGTGCAACATTTTTCAAAATAATTGCAGTAGAGCTACAAGAGTTATTTTATTTTATTTTCTCATTTTTCTGGGAAAAAGGAGGAGAAAAAGATATATCCCTTTCATTCAGTTATGTAAAAAGATAATTCCTTTTTTTCTTTTATAACAAACTTGATAACCTAACACACTTCAAAAACAAGATCCAAGCAAATCAAATCAGGTCAATTTACCAGACGTTAACTAGTTTCAACTAAGCAAAAGCTCAAACATGACTAACAACTACAAAGAAAAATGAACATTATACTAAGAATATGGTATCCCCATTTAAACCCTACTCTTCCAAGGCTGATCGTATAGAAAGAACAAGTAATTAACAACTGGCAGTTTAGGAAGCTCGATATAGCACTTCCAATATCTTCTATCTGACACACAGTCAAATAACTTCCTCATTGATTTTTTACATTAATGTATATCAAATATCAAACCAAAGAAAATCCAACTCAACATTCTTAAAATCACACACGTGCGTGATAAAAAAAAAGTGGGAAGAAGGCACAAGTTATTTGTATATCAGGAGAAAATGAAAATTAGAATAACATTTGCTGACAGAGGTACCCGGACGAGCTTGTAAACAACTGGATCAGCAATATGCCTTGGCGAATACAAAACAGAGTTATTTTTCTCAAGGCCAGTCACTTTATATTTCCCTTCACAATTCCCCTCAACTTCAACCACTGTTTCCATGTAAAATCCAAGACACGCAGCTCAAAAACAAAAACTGGAAGCCAAAACCAAAAAAAAAGGGTCAAATGATGGATTCATCAATTTCCAATGCCATTTAAAAATGAGAGCTTCATATATGCATGAAATAGAAGAAAACGGAGCAAACAAAATTCAAAATTTGCAGTTCCAATATGGATATCAGTTATTAGGTCACTTAAACTTTACTTGCTCAACAGTCAAATAACCTAATCTCTTGAATTGATTACCAAATTCCCAGAAAACAGTCCAAATTTTAACACACTGTAGAATATACATTAATGTTAAAGAAACTAATGAACTACATGCGACAAATCAAACAAATACATTAAAATTGCCACTTCAGGAGAAAAAAATATGATAGCTACTGTCATGAAGCACAATTCACAATATGATGAATTCAAACCCTAATTCTCAAATTCTAACAACCTAAAAGTAAAATAAGCTAGTATCCTCTAACTACTTATATTTCCATACAAATGAACGCGCTCGCATGTTGCTATAATTAATCAAATAAATAGCATGTTAACTATACAAAAAAAGAAACAAAAGTAATTTCAAAAGAAAACAGAGAAAATATTAAGGAATTTGTCACCATAGGACTTGCTGACCGAGTTGACTCATCCCCCTCCAAACAGTAAACCAAACGAAAAGGACACAACGTGGCTGATTTGTAGTGAGTTAGAGGCGTTAAAACTGAGTTGAAAAAACGATAACGGAAATGAGAGAGAAACTTCGAGAATTAGATAAGGAATTTTTTAGTGAATTTTTGTTCCCTTTTTCGCGAGCGATTTGAGCGAGTTTTGTTTATGTCACGCTTTTTCAGCACGCTGAGTTTACTGTCATACAGTTCAGTAATTGAAATTTTCTTTATGTGCGATTTTACAAAATGGCGTCGAGTCCGGGAAGGCCTTTTTTGTCTTTTTGTGTACGGTTTACAGAATAGATTCTGTCCAGTTCGATTTTCCTTTTCTTTCTACCCATAATATTACATTTGAATAAAATTTATATTGTAGTACTCGTACTTCTAAAAAGTTTAATATAATATATATTTTTTGATAAAATATTTAATGGAAAATATAAACTCTTATTATGTATGGTATTAACATATTCGTTATTAATAAACGTGAAATTATTCGATAAAAATTTAGAGTAAAGTATATAAGTAATTATAGGGTATTAATTTAACGAATATTTTGATTATTAAAAGTTATAAAATAAACTCTCAACTAAAAGGTATTAATTTGTTGAATACTTCAATTATTAAAAGTTATAAAATAGTCATTCAATTATTCGTATATTCTAAAATCATCATTTCCGTTAAAAAATTAGAGATCGTCTGAGCTAAGCGTCAACCTTTTGACTAGGATATGATAAAATTTGATCTTATAACTGTTTGATATGCGTTTTGTATATCGAATTTCAGTTTACATTATGTCGTGCCAAATTGTCAATGCTTAAACATTATATTGTCGAGCCAGTGATTGAAAGCAACGACAGATAGTAGACATCAATAAAATATGATTTTATAACATTAAACTCATACGGTAGTTAATTTTTTAACGAAAATGATGAGTTTGACACATATGAATAATCAAGTGACCATTTTATAACTTTTAATAGTCAGATGCTAAACAAATTAATTATCTATAATTGAGGATAATTTTATAACTTTTTTATAATAAGTAGACTCAATAAAATAACACTCTATAATAAAAAATACCATTTGTATTTGTGTACTTTGCTCAAAATTTTAACTTATATTATTTTTAAATTCATAAACCCACGTTATTAGTTTGTTTATATACGTTGGTGTGAAAATAAGTATTAGTTAATATATTATTATTATTATTATTTAATTTATTAATGGACTAGTTTAAACTATCAAGAAAGATTATTATGAATTTCATAATCCAGTTTAATTCATATGTAATATTAAAATATGAATATTGTCTTTATTTCGTTAGAGTAAAAGCTAACTACTAGTTTTAATTTTTTTTCTTTAAATTAAGTTTTGTCTAGATTTAAAATTTAAAATTTAAAATATTAAAATTCACTAATTGATCGTTTGATCAGAGATACTCATATCATTCCACGTTATACGAGTTCAATTTATCTTATAATGAAATATACTACCTAATAAAAAAATTGGAATATTATTTATAAAATAACTATTATACATTTAATGCATGAACTTCACTTCACGATTTGATATCTAATTTTTCTCCAATGAAGTATCTTCGTTTGACGTTAAGGTTATATATGTCACTTTAAAGTTATTTCTGGTCCAACTATATTTTTAAATTTAACTTTTAGATTTAAATTAATATACGAATTTGATTTTATTATTCAAATAAATTATTTATCATAAATATTAACTGGATAAAAAATAAATATAAATATCTATTTGAATGAAAAATTCAAATTTAAATATCTAATTAAATCTAAATGAAAAATATTTTAAATATTAAATTAAAATTTCATGTTATTAAATACAATAAATAATATTATTTATCATAAAACTTAATATTATTATTTTTAAAATATTAAAACAATTTATTTATTATTAAATATTATTTTTATAATTTTATTAATAAAATATTAATATTGGTATATTTTATTGAAATAAAAATATTATAAATTATATTAATTATTTATTAAAGTAATAGTTTTATAATATATTTTAAAAATATTAATTAGTATATTTTAAATATCTTTATTAAAATATTATTAGATTATTATATTAATATTAAATATATAATATATTCATTATTAATAATTTAATAATTTATTTCTATGAAATTAATAAATAATATATATTTTTATTAATAATTTATTATATTATTAAAATAAAATATAATATTTATATTATTATAATATAATTGATTATTTTATTATAATATTAAAAATATAATATTATATTATTAGAAATATTAATAAAAATATTTTAATTAATTTAATAATTATTATTTTGATTAAAATGATATTAAAATATTTTATGAATTTTAAATTCATAAAATAAAATTATTTTGAGTATTTATTATTTGAAATGAAAAGTTCGAAAATGACTTACGGAAAATCAGGCCGTAAGTCATTTTCCAGAAAACACAAAGAAAATTTTGTTGACCAAGAAAATGTTTTACATTGATCAACCAGTTTTCCTCTAACCAATCACTGAAAAACATTTTCCGAAAAACAAATTAGGTGAAACAAACGTGGGATTTCGGGAAAAACCAATTCCATAATGGATTTTCCTCCAAACAAACAAACAGACCCTAAAACTAAAAGTCAAATTTAAATATCAAGATAAATATTTTTATTATTTATAAAATATTAAAAAGTAATTTTATATTAAACTTAAATATTTATACACTATTAAAATAATAATTCGTGTTTAATCTAAATTTAGAGAATATCATGTTCTTATCTTAGTTCCAGCGGTTTTCTTCCTTGTATTAAATTGTATCATTCATCTTTTGGCTCTGCTCAGGTTGATTCTCAAGGTAAGCTTGAACCAGAAGTTGAAGATCTACTTCTGGAGATTGCTGATGACTTCGTAGACTCTGTAAGGCTATACTTTAAGGGCTTACCTTGTTGATATTTGCCTTTCTGTTTTAGGAGTAATGGAAATGTGCATCTATTACTCAGTTTGTGGTGGAAGTTAACCTCAGATCGTAGTATAAATAATGTCAGAGGGTTAACCGTTATAAATAGAGATATGGTTAGCTTTGGGGGGTTTTTGTCAGGTGTAGCTTGAATACAGCAAAATACTTTTTAAGAAATCCATGAAATTCTTCCTGCAATATTTTGTGCTTAGCCTGAAGAGAAATCAAATATTTGGGCTGACAGTGGATGGTTTAGAAGACATTGGGTTTACTTATGTTATTTGATTTTTATGACTACATTTATGGTGAAAAATTGTTTTAATTGGTAATTTTTGTAATAAAAGTTTAGTTTTTCTTTCAGTTAATTCCAACTAGCCATTTACTTACAGTCACAGCTATACAACTAAACTGTCCATATGTACTGTTCTCTTTTCTTTCTTTCTTTCTTTTTTTAAAATCTTTCTTCTTATTCTTCTCTGTGTCCTCCTTCTCTTTGGTACATTAATCAGCTGTTGAGCAATAATCTTCTTTGTTTAAAACTTACACCATTTTACTCATTTTCAGGTGACAATTCTTGCATGCGGTTTGGCTAAGCATAGGAAATCGTCAACATTAGAGTCCAAGGATCTCTTGCTACAATTAGGTTTGTGCTTCACTATTTTTTCATTTCTTTGGAAGAGTTTTGTTGATGTGATGGTCATGGTACAATATATATTTGGATATTTCTCTTATTTTTTTTATCACATGTGGGGTAAAATTCTATAATATTTAGGTTTTCTATGATTTGAAGTTTGTCATGATGGAGCCCGTGTTCTCTGATTTCTCTCCTTTAGATAATTGTGCAAAGTTACTTCATGCTTTCATATTAATAACTATATGCGAGTTTAAGCTTACATTCACAACTTTATACATCACGTTGCTGGTGGTCAGTAGAATTTCAAAAACTTATTGTAATCCATGCTTAATATTTCCTTCCAGGAGCTGCTTCTGATTCACTCTTATCTCATGTACATTTTGATAAAGTATGATTTACTTCATTATTGCAAAAAAAATTAGATGTTGAGTCTGCATAAGATAACCTATTATGGTTTCTTCATCCTCTGAGTGAAGCCAATGGAGCCATAATGAATGTTGAACATGGGTTATTCCAGGATTTTCAAGTGAAGAGCGGAATCAAACAAGCCCGGTAAGCATTTCTGTTTGTTGTTTACGAGATGTCAGTGCTCAAAATGTCTAAGAATTTTGACTTCAATATATGTGAATTCCAATTTCCTTTTAGGGTTAGGAACTCATCGTTTAGCACCTATCTTTGGTAGTCAAAATTTACTCTCTCTATATTTATCTTCCACATTTTACTTTGCCTGATAGCTTGAAACCGTCTGAGCTATCCTCTCTAGCATTTATAATGGTTTCGTTTGCTTTATACGAAAGTATAAAAGTATGTCTTACTCTCCTAATGACTTGTACTTTACTTTATTAGATACGAGCACTGATGGAATCGTCACAGCCTGAAGCAAACGCAAATAATCATAAAGAAATGATAATACAAGGCCTTGGCAACCCAGTTGCTGCATCAAACCATTTATTGAGACCTTCACCAAGTTCCGAGCAATTGGTTTCACAAGTAGTTAGTTCACAAATGCTGCAGCAAATAACTCGGTATTAACTGGCAGAATTTGTCGACTCATAATTTGGACCCATTTCAACATGCCTATCTATCTTGACATCGTAGGTGAGTAATGTGATTCACTGTCACTAATGATTAGTTTTTCCTCTTCAATTTCCACTGACCAAATAGGTATTTACTTTCTTGTCTACTCATCCATGCATATTTTGTTGACCTTATAGAATCCATGCTAGTATGTATCACATTTGTATTACCATTACATCAACGAGACGCATTCTCCACTCGATATGTATTTTCTTTTCTTTTTTGGATAACCGACTGGTTTGTCTTCCTGGGACTCGGTAGGGCCGCATTCCTAATCGAATGAGTGGCTACATGTTTTTTTCCGGAGGAAAGAAGGTTTTAGTCTACCAGGCTAAACTCAGCTCCAGAACTTAGAATAGCATTTAGTCCACACTGGCATTTGTGACAACCTGTAGTCCATTAGTCCAATGAACCAGATAGAGGTTACATATTTCTTAATCATGTTTAGCTGCTGAACTTCCCTAAAAAACATATATAGTTCCATGTTGT